CAGCGGTCGAAGTGACTGCCGGTGCATATCACACGTGTGCCAGGCTGGACGACGGATCTGTCAAGTGCTGGGGTTACAACGTCTATGGCCAGTTGGGCCTGGGCTCCACGAACAACATGGGCGATGGAAGCAACGAGATGGGGGACGAGCTGCCTGCAATTGACATCACCTTCCCAACCACAACCACAACCACAAGAACAAGCACGAGCAGCACCTCCAGCATCACCAGCACCACCAGCACCACCAGCACCAGCTCCACCGGCACCAGCACCAGCAGCACGACCACATCCAGTTACACCGACAGCACAACAAGCACGAGCACCAGCGGCAGCACATCCCGAACCAGCTCCACCTTCACAACAGGCACCGTCAGCACGACCACGTCCAGTTACACCGACAGCACAACAAGCACGAGCACCAACACCAGCACCAGCAGCACAAGCGCCACAAGCACAAGCACCTCTACATCATCTGGCTCACAAACGAGCAGGACGAAAACTACGAGTACCTCGGGCTTTTTTCAGTTCGATGGTTTTTTCAATGGGTGCTCTCCAACAGCCCTGTGGCTGTTGCTCTCCGGTTCACAGTTCCTGCAAGCATGAGGCAATTCATCGTCATGGGTCATGTCAGGCGAGTCCGTGACATAGAAGAGCAAGAAGGGCATGGAAGAAATACACACCACTGCAGGGTATCCTGATGTTCATCAATCTCTGATTTTGGCTTCGGCTCGGGGCTTAAGGTTTTCGGCTTTCGTTTCTGATTGGAGGTTCAGGCTTACCGTAGGGTTTGAGGCACAGGTTTGAGTCAGAATTTATGACGCTCTCACATCTGAGGCTCCATCGCAACCTCCACAGTCGCAACCGAGGAAGCAAGAGAGGAGCAGCGGAAAGAGGACATCGATGGAAGCCCATATGGGCGTCCATGTGGGAGTTTTCGGAAATAGGGGCTACAATAAAGGAGTATACTCTTTTGGGCTACATAAGGGGGTCCTCTACTTTCGGAAGCCCCATATAGGCTTCAAGGCTTAAGGGGCATCCTGGTCCAAGAGCCTGTTCAGTTCAGTTCTGATCCCCAGCACAGATTTCAGAACCGCCAACCTAAGCCCTGTAAGCGACCCCTAAACCCAAAGTTCCACTATGTTCCATTATTATGTCCAAGCCGCGAAACGCGATTTGAAGTGAGAGGACGCCAAAGCGGCCGTGAAGGAGGTCGAGTCAGCAACACAGGACGCTTCGAAGACCGAGGTTCAGGATTTAGGACCCTAAGAAAAGTGGCAAACTACCAGGCGTACTTGCTTGCAAGCCTGCAGCAAAAGGGCCTTTAGGGTTTAGAGTTTGGGGTTTGTATCTTGGTGAGCTTTGGCCTTCGGTGTGTCATTTCGGTGTGACAGGGAGGACGAGCAGCTTCGGGGTCCTACGAAGTGCTGAAGTTGAGCCTATCTGGTACTATTTTTGAATCAAGGGGGCGTAAGCGGGCATGCAGGGCCTTGAGGATAGTGTGGTAGGGCGTTTAGAGCGGACTTCGTCCTTGGCGTGGGCTTCAGGGTGTGAGGCTAACCAGCGCCTACAAGTAGCCTTCAAGACTCAACGTCGTCCTGATGGAAGACACCCACACCACGTCGAGTTTAGAGACCATGCTTGCCATGAAACTTCTTTGCAGGGGAGCTGGAGCATAGACGGCAAAACGGCCTGGTTTGCAGCATAGTAGCTCGCACAGCATGTGACTACCCTAGCAATCTTGCAGAAGTATCCTAACAGTTCACAGCTACTAAGCTCACAGTGAAATGGCTCATCAGGGTCAGATGCTAAGACCAGACCCTGCCAAAAGCCAAGGATGCGATGGCAAGCCTTCTGAGCAGCATCAATGGCACCTCAGACAACGCCAGCGCAGGTGTACTGGGCGATGTGTCCATTTCGACAGATGCTGGAGATGTCAAGGTGCGGACCCCGGAAGTCACGTACAAATAGGAAATACAAATAAAGAAACACCAGACCTGCCATCCTAATACATCTCTGCAATATGAGTCGGGCTTGGTGTTTGGCGCTGCGTTTGTGCTACCCTCGACCCTGGCTTTGGAGTGACGCGGTCTTCATCGCGAAGAGTATAGTGGACAAAGGGGCGCGGAACGATGAATCTCTTCGTAACTGAAAAGGCGGAATGCAGCGCTAGAAACCGTGAAGCTGAGAGATGGCATGATAGTTTTTTAATGTGTACTATCTTGTCATACAAGTTAGTATTCAGCTGGCACCACGGAACAATAGATTCAATAGGGAGGCTTGTGTAAAGGACCTGCGGTGGCCCTTAGCTTAGCAGCTTTTGTCTGTCTGCCAATTCTCCAGTGCTGGGTCCACGAGGCTGCAGTTACCGGTTATCTCGCTCTCCTGCATTGTCCTACATCCAAGCGCATCCAAGCAGAACTTTTCTCAGGAAGGAGAAAAAGGTTTGCACATGTGAGCGCATAGAAGCCTTCATCTAATCTTCTACAGCCTCTCTGAGGTCGTGGTCTATGACCCCCAAGCCTTGGCTGGAAAACCTGCGGAAGTCAGCGTGGACAACACAGCAGTCGCCGCCGAGGCGCAGATGACGGATTGTAAGGAGACGAGGCCTACTTCCCTTGAGGGTTACGAGGGTTACACTTACTGTTGCCTTCCATCGCCGATTGCAGTACTCTAGGTTCTCGTATGAGGACTACTCCCGTCACGGACGCTCGGTTCCTGTGTTTACTCAGGGTT